GAAGTCATAACCTCTTCCAGTGTGGCTCTTGCTAACATAAAAAGCACTAAAATATCAAAATCCAAGGATGAAACAAGATTCATCACATTTTAAGTGCTCAGAGAGCACATCCACAAAGCCAGACACATCTCAGTTTAAAGCCACATTATCTGCCTCTCTTCTCTTTATATATCAGAGATCTATAAATCTATAAAATAAGGATTTATCCCTGTGGATGGTCTAAATCCCATTACACAAGACACATGGGGTAGAATGACTCCAGCAGAGTAACGGATATAACAGAGTCAAAACACAGAGCTCAGTTCACTGTGGGAATGAGGAGCTTTGAAGTGGTGATCCCTGAGATGATTTCCTCTCTTTAGACTGGGAAGTTCATCCCATCTATGAATGTTTAACAACATTGCCATTTTTTTCTCTTCCTTTTAAGTGGATTCTATATTCTGAAGTTGTTATTTGTCTGAGCTTCAAAACCCACAAAGATATCCCACAGAGGGACAGATCTCCTAGAAAAAGTATTATTAGCTATTTATAGAGCTATTTGGGACTTTTAAAGAGAATGGTAACATACATCTGAAAAGGTGTGGCCCTGTACTTTGAATCATATCCAATGTTGTAAACCAATGTTACCTCAATTTTAAAAATAATAAAATTGATTAAAAGTGAGAGACTTATCAGTTTAAATTCATAGCTTAAGGAAATTAAGATCTTTCTCTGAAATAAAACTGGAAAATTTGAAAAGGAGGTCTATGAATTCCTGTCATACAGTATGAAAATTTAAATTTTCATTACAGTTAATGTAATGCAGTTGTCTGTCTTGCCAACTTTATTCCCATCAAGGGTCCCATCTTTGCAGACAAGGCACAGCAGAATCCTTCACCTGGTGGTCCTTCCCCTATCCTCCTCCCCATCAGTCACACCCCCTCCTTTTGAATATCATGACTTTAGGGTTAACTTTACCCACTCAAACCAATATTAAAGGTGCACAAGGAAGCCCAGAGAGTCACCGGTGATCATAAATAACCACTGATTTTATTTTACTTGAAATTCAACATGCAAAAAGATGGTGCTGAAAAGTGAAGAAAAGCACGTGACACCCAAAGCACAAGCAACAGAGTGACAAATACACAAGTATGACTACATAAAACTGCTCTGGATGGCCCGCTCTGGTGGTGCAGCAGGTTAAAGCACAGCACTAAGAGGGTAAAGCCACTTCAGCAGGAGTTTGATCCCCGCCCCAGAGGTGACCGACATGGCACGGTAGACCTCTCCTGACCCGCCCGCAGCTCCCCTCAGCAGTGTACTTTGTCAGTCAGCCTGTTCTGCTTCCCACTCTGTCCCTGGTGAATCCTCCCACTGCCTCTGTACCTCTGGCCTATACCCCAGTTCTGTATGCATAAATAAATAAATCTGTAAAAAAAAAAAAAAAACTGCTCTGGACACTGCAGGAAACCATCAAGAAGTAAAAGACAACCTACAGAACAGGAACAAGTACTTTCTGAGAAGGGATAATATCTAAAATATATAAAGAACTCTTACATGGACCCTCCCTGGTGGCGCAGCAGGTTAAAGCACAGCACTAAGAGGGTTAAGCCACTTCAGCAGGAGTTTGATCCCCGCCCCAGAGGTGACCGACATGGCACGGTAGACCTCTCCTGACCCGCCCGCTGCTCCCCTCAGCAGTGTACTTTGTCGATCTGCCTGTTCTGCTCTCCACTCTGTCTCTGGTGAATCCTCTCACCCTCCGCATCTCTGGCCTGTACCCCAGTACTGTATGAATAAATAAATAAATCTTAAAAAAAAAAAAGAACTCTTACAATAGTAAAAAAATAAATAACCTAATGTAAAAATGGGTAAAGGACTTGAATAGACCTTTCTCAAAAGATTATACATAAAAAGATGGTCGACATTACCAGTCACTAGGAAAATGCAAATTAAAACCCAGTGAGATGGCTCTGTGCCTGTTAGAATGATTGCCATCAAGGTGACAAGCAAAACAAATCTGGTGGAGGAAATGGAGAAAAGTGAGTCTGTCCCAACTTGGGTGGGACTGGAAACTACGCAGTCAGTTCACAGGGTGAAGAACCTCAAAAATTTAGAACTATCACATAATTTAGAGCTTCCAACTGGCAGTATAGCCAATGGAAACAAAATCACTAATTTGAAGATCTATTTCCACTCCCTTATTCATACTAGAATTATTTGCAATGGCCAGGACATGGAAACAAACGGAGTTTTCATCAGTGGTCAAATGGGCACAGGAGTGCTCTATATGTGCACACACACATGTGCACACACACACATGTGCACACACACGCATGTGCACACACACAGTTGGATGTTACTGGCCATAAAAAAAAATGCGAGGAATTTTACCATCAACAACATGGTTAACGTGAAGATGTCATAAGGAATAAGTCAGAGAAAGACAAGTATTGTATGTTCTCACACACATAACAACACAGAAGAAGAAATCAAACTTGTGGGGTAGGGTGTGTGCAAGAATATGCAGAGGTCTGCTGCGCCATGTGGGTCAGCTCCCTGGCTGGGGATCAAACTCAGGCCATAGTGGTGATTCTTACCCTCTAGGCCTCTAGGGAGGCTCTGTGGTCTCTTTGGTAATGATTACTGGCTGATCAGGGTGGTGATTATAGCAATATGCCTGATACATAGGAAGGTTGTTAAGTGAGTAAATCCTAAGAGCTCTTATCACAAGGAGAAATTTTATTTCCCCCTTTCCTTATTTTTTTTTTTTAAAAAAAAAGATTTATTTATTTGTGCATACTGAACTGGGGTACAGGCCAGAGGACCAGGGGCGGTGAGAGGCTTCACTAGAAACAGAGTGGGGAGCAGAACAGGCAGATTGACGAAGTACACTACTGAGGGGAGCAGCGGGCCGGTCAGGAGAGGTCTGCCATGCCATTTGTTCACCTCCGGGTCAGGCGGGAATTGAACTCATGCAGAAGTGGCTTTAGATTCTCAGTGCTGTGCTTTAACCCGCTGCGCCACAAGGGAGGGCCACCTTTCCTTACTTTTTTATTGTATCTTTATGAGAAGGTAGACATGAGCTGACCATATTACGGGAAATATCTCGCAGCACAGGCAGAACTCACTTTATTGCAGTTCTCTGTCGTGCACCACAGAAAATTGCATTTTTTACAAATTGAAGGTTTGTGATAGTCCCATGTCAAGCAAGTCTCTCAGTGTCAGTTTTCCAGTAACATGTGCTTATGTCCCAGTTCTTATAATTGTCATGGCTTTTTCATTATCGTACATATTGGGGTGGCTGTGATCTGACATTGTAATCATTTTAAAACAACACAGTTTGTACCCATCTTGACAGCTAGTGTCATGTATCAATGCTGGGACTGCTTCTTTACCTGCTGTCTCATCTCTCTCCCTCTCCTCAGGCCTCCCTATTCCCTGAGACACCAAGAGATCAAAATCAGACCAGTTAATAACACCATAATGGCCTCTAGGCTTTTAAGTGAAAAAGTCATATGTCTTTCACTTCAAAAGCAGTTGCCCACTGCAGAGAAAGCAGTAGTGAAAGGAATAGTCAGCTGACACAGCAAATTCCATTGTCTTATTTCAAGAAATTATGAAGCTGTTGTAGTCTTCAGCAACCACCACCCTGATCAACGAGCAATCATCCCAATGGAAGCAAGACCCTTCATCAACAAAGAGACCACAGAGCCTCCCTAGCGGCCTAGGGGGTAAGAATCAGTACTATCACCACTATGGCCTGAGTTTGATCCCCAGCCAGGGAGGTGACCCACATGGCGCAGCAGACCTCTGTCTTGCCTACTGCTCCCCTCAGCAGTGTATATCAGTCAATTCACCTGTTCTATTTCCCACTCTGTCTCTGTGAATCCTCTCACTGCCCCCCGCCCCCAACACACACACACACACCTCTGGCCTACATCCCAGTTCTTCTATGGAAAAATTAAAAGAATATTTAAAAAGAAAAGATTACAGGTCGCTGAAGGCACACATGATGGTTACCCTATATTAGTAATAAAATATTTTTTAGCTAAGGTTGTCTATATTGTTTTTTAAGGCATAATGCTATTGGAGAATTAACAGATTTCAGTATAATATAAATATAACTTTCACATGTACTCATATTATTACAAAAAGAATTATTTTTTTCTTTTTTCATTTAATTCAAATGTGAATTTTAACTGATCCTATTGTGGTAGTTACTTGACAGTATATGTAAATCAAAACATCAATCTATATATCAAAACTTTTACAGTAATATATGTCAATACAATTATTTCTCAGTAAAGCTAGAAAAATGTCAAAAATTAAAAAGTGTTTTAAGTGGAGGGAAATGTAGATAAGCAACATGGACCCAAGGCTCTTGGGTTAAGAAATTAAGTTAGCATGCCACTCGCTAATCTGATCATTCTCATTATCACTTTGTAGCCCCGGTGGTGATAGATGTGTCTCCTAAGACAGCATCCTTGGTGCTTTGCACACTTTCTTTCTGCCCAGGAAATTGTGGGCATCTGGTTGCCCAGCTCTCTGAACAACCATTAAACATTTCCTTCAGGAAAATACTTACTAAAATTTATTACACTCCAGTGTAATTGCTACTTTGCTTCTCCCAAAGATATTTGTCTGGCAAATCACTGTTGTATTCTGGGGTGAAAAGTTCTCCCCAAATTAAAGAATTCTTGACTTGCAGTTTCAGGTGAAAGTGGCCTTTGGGGGTCAGAGTGGCCTGCTCTCCTGCAGCTGCACCATATTCAGTTCTTAAATGATGAAACCAAAATCACATAAAGCTCATGTCCGAATTTGTGGTAGAAAGTTAAGGAAAAGCATGTTGTACTTGTGTGGGTTGTTTTCATTTACTTCAAAATTAATGTGTGAGATTTGCCTCACCAGAGGTTTACTGCCAACAGTATAGTGAGCTTTTTCCTGAAAATTAAGTTCTTAAACATAAAAAAGGCGCACTCAGGCCTGGCGCAGGGAAGCCAGGAAAGAAGGGGACTTACCCTCTCTCAGCGGAAGCTCCTCCTCCTGCTCACTGGGAGAAGGCATCAGGGGCTGCAAGGGCTCCATGTTGATGATGAGCTGTTTGTTCAAAGAGTGGGAACTGCGGCTCTGAGTAATGTTAGCTCTGAAAACAGACACACATCCACAGGTATTAGTTTCACTGAAAACAACAAACCCTCTGTCTCTGCAGTTCCCTAAGCTGGGGGCTGTCTCCAGACTCATGGGAGAGTAGGGAGTGAAGATGACGTAACACTCAAGACACACCCTGTTTTTATGGTGAAGATCCTGACAAAATTTCCATGTTTTCTAAGGCAACACTGAAAGAAAATGCATTCTCCCAAATGTCATCAGACTTGGGCATGCTCAGTGACAACATAGGCATCTGAAAAAGACATGGAAATAAAAACTCATGGAGGCAGGTCTCACTCAATTAGATAGGCAGCAAATGAATGAAAGGCATGGCTCAAAGTAATTTTAACCAGCACCAAAAGACAAAGACAAGGCAAAAAGTGAAAGTCCTGCCAGACAGATGGCAATGATGATGATGGGATGTAGCTGGCAATGATGATGATGGGCTGTAGCTACAAGATAGCTTGATGTTGCTGGATGGCCAGTGTGCAACAGCAATGTTTAAACACATCCTACTCTGAACAGCTGTGGAACCCAGGTCTGCTTTATCCTGGGCATGTGTGTCTGTGGCTATGACAGGCTGCACATGGCAAGGGGACCTGTGTGGGTGCCTCATCAAGATTCGGTCAGCAGCTGAAAGCCCACTTACACTGCCTACTGCAGGGACAACAGCTGTGTGACCTGACAGGGAGGTAGGACACCTGTGCAGGGTGCATGGAGCATCCCTTTATGCCCCATGTTTTCCTCAAAACCAAGCCATCTTTCAATGATGGTGTCCACTGTCACTTTCTCCTTGAAGCCCTCCAAGACTGCACCCTTGCATTCACAAAATTCAGTCCTCGTGCTGCTTTCCCTTCTTTCACAACTTACCACACCTATCACCTCTGTCTCTCTGTAATTGCTGATGTACTAGTCAGTTCTACTTTAGTAATCATCATCAGACACTGACCTTTCCGTTTTCATGTATATACTGTGCCTTGCTTGGCATATTGTTAAAGGGGGGTCAGGTTTGAAACTGATGTAAACTGAATCTAGTCCTGACTTGATATAATTGCCATTTCAGACTGGCCCATGTAGTCCCCAGGCCAGTAGACAGGACTGTGGCATAGACCAGCACTACTGTTGAGTACAGAAGGGAGATGGAGAAGATCAGGATGCCTGTGTCTTGAATTAAAACCCCCCACAGCTGGCTGGGAAGGAAATCCTGAGAGCTTGCTTAACCATGAAGTCTTCATTATGTCATTTCACAACCACTTTACTTTGCAACTAATAGTCGCCTTGTTATGGGAAACTGGTCCTTGCCTTAAGTAACTCACCCTTTAGAACCGTAAGTGTCAAACTTTGACTAAGGCTGACAGAAGTAGGTTTATATCACCTCTCTGTATTCACACACACACAGGAAGACACAACTAAAGCAGCAAGTTTACTTCTTACTATCGCTGATTGACTGTAAATGTGTCTTTCTATTTAATTTTGTTCAAAGTGTGGGGCTTCATGACTATGTTCACTTCATGGCTCATTAATGAGCAACAGCAACTGTTGGAAACATGTTTATCCCATGAAAGAGACAGAAAAGGAGCATCTGGGGAACTAGGATGACCCCCGAGAGGAGGTGATACATGTGGGGGTCCTGCAAACACAGTGGAGTTTACAGGAAAGAAGTGGAGATGGGGACTCCTTGCAGAGGGGAGGGAAAATACAGAAGGGAGGTTAAAATTCCCCATGCACAGTCCTCCTATATTGTGAAGGGTTCTCATTTTTTTTAGTTCCCCTGGAATTTCCTTTGGCCTTTTAGTCTCTAAGACCGTGACTCCAACTCTGCAAAGTGTAAAATATTGCCATGTTTATGTAGAACATGTTGTTTTCTGACCTCTGAAAAGTCCATCTGTCCATTCTTGCACAGACCAACTCAGCATTGCTCTGCACCATCTCACCAGCCATGCCTGTGGGGCTGCCAGCACGTCCCGGCCCCAGAAATCACTGCATGTGCTACAACAGAAGGGTCCGTTGCTTCCCGGTTGGAGACACCAAGCATCCTGCTGCCACCCCCCATCCTGAACATGGCACTATCTGGCCTGTCGTCTGATGTTAGGGCAGGTGAGCTCGCCAGGGTGACCACACATTGCCTGGCATTGGGTGTGTGTGTATCAGGGAGGAGAGGGCTGGTCAGGATAACACCAACTTTGCCCCTGTGCTCACTTGATCCTGCATTGCTCTGCAAGAACCTGGCCCACTTTGCAGCCCACTCCTGTACTCCCACCCTTGAAGTTTCTGAAGGAAACCATCATTAAAATCTCTAATGAGGTAGGAAGGTTTCCGTTGGGAAATGTGAGTATTTTCTAACACGAGCATTAAAATGCCATAACAGAGGGGCTGAAATGAGGCTCATGGAGCTCCTGCACTGCTTCTTGGAGTGGAAGGCGCCGTGGCTGGCCCGTTACCAAAAACTCCATCTGAGGAGATGTTGATGTGTCGTCAGAGTCCAGGTCCCCATTTTTGGATGAGAGACAAAATAGAAGTACCACCTCACATTTGTATGGCACTTCATAATTTTTATTTTAATCCCCATAATGAAACCCAAAAGTTGAACAAAATAATACAGATTTTCCTCAACTTATAAAGGGGCTCCAGCCCAATAAGCCCAGGGAAAACACTGTCACTCAAAAATATACTTAATGTTCCTGACCCAAAGAATATATGAGCTCAGCTTAGTCTTCCTTAAATGTGTTCAGAACACTTATATTCGCCTCTGGTTGGACAAAAACATCCAATGCAAAACCTATTGTGTAACATGGTGTTGAATAGCTCATATAAGTTACTAAATACTGTACTGAAAAAGAGTCTGCAGAGTACTGACTGACTGTCGCCAATCGTGAGGTTAATGGTCACTACCCACTGTCATGACAGCTTTGTCCCCTGTAGCACTAACCCAGGAAATGACCAAAAATAAAAACAGAAAGTGCCATTTCCGCTGAACGTGTATTGTTTTCACACCATTGTAAAGTGAAAAAATTGTAAGTTAAACCATTATGTGCATTTCATTTTGTAAGTAAGTAATCTGATGGTTTGAGTTTAGAGATTCACCTGATGCTTACACATCAGTAAGCAGTGCACCGAAGGGTAGAACCCATTCATGATTCCCAGACACATGCTTGTTTCAAGATAAACACTACCTCTGGGTGTTCCCCGAGTGGTAGCTGCTATGCCGAGGGTGGTGTGCTCAGCCAGCCCTGGGCTCACTAATCTGGATTGGTGAGTCTCACCAAGCCCCCAGCCTGAGATGGCTTTGGGAACCTTGTCATCAATAAAGATCAATGAACTAACATGACAGTTAGTTGCTTCTCTTTTAAAAAGAAAGAAAAAATGGTTTCAGTCAGTCTACAATTATCTCTATATATACATATCTCCAAAAAAAAGAGAAGTCCATGAACTTGTCACTTTTTGAAGCACAGAATTTTAGGTGGGAGGAAAGACAGCTAAGTAAAGCCTTGTCATCTGCTCTCTAGACTAGCAGTCAACTCTGAACACTGCCAGAGAAGAAGAGCACATTACTATACAATCACTTCTGACACCAAGGAAGACAAAATAAATTAAAAATAGGGCAATTTTTCAAAACAAATAACTTCTTAGCATGCATCTGGCTACTGGGAAGGAATGAGAACCATGTGCATATTTGGAGGTGTGAAGTTGTACTCCCCAAATTGTATAGTTATGTAAACAACCAACAAATAAAAATTTGCGGGGGAAAAAAAAGAGAATTTCTGCTGGAAATGCATACACCACCATGACCGACCACTGCAGCATGAGTTTGATCCCAAACCAGGAAGCTGACCCACATGGCACAGCAGACCTCTCCTGCTCCACACGCTACTCCCCTCAGCAGTGTATTTCAGTACATCTGCCTTTACTGCTCCCCACTCTGTCTCTGGTGAGTCTTCTCACCCCCAACACCTCTGGCCTACACCCCAGTTCTTGTATGCATAAATAAATAAATCTTAAAAAAAAATAAACAGATTCTTGGAATGTCGGAGATTTGTGAATTGCTGCTAAAGAATCGGGCCAGAATAATGTCCTGAAGATGTAAATTCAATGGGCTTTCACACACACACAAAAGTGGACAGTACATGAGAGAGAACTTGCAAGCCAGTGTCTCCAAGACCTGTAGCTCCTGCTACAGTAAGATCCTGGGGTTCTAAGAAGATTCCAGAAAAGGGAAACTATAAATTGATTAATGCTTCATTTCCCATCTGCTCCCTTCCTCCCTTCTACCACAGTTCACTAGAATCTGTGGCTCTTCAAAGTCCATGGACCAGCCACATGGCATCACCTGGACACTCATTAGAAATGCCAGATTCATTCATCAGAATCTGATTTTAACAGGATCCTCAGATGACCCCTATGTAAGTATAGGTTTAAGAAGTCCTGATCCAGGAAGTCTAGATTTTTATAAATAATGCGGACCTAAATTTAAGGGGGAAATATTTTTTAAACCTTTGATCTCATTAGCCATCTGTAAGTGATAATGATGGGGCTCCTGGAAAGTCAAATATTTGGAGTAAGCCACTGTGAAAGTATGATGCTAAGGACAGTCTCCTACTTGTGCCACTAAGGGAATTATCTAGCATCAAACATTACTTTTTATTTTTAAGATCAAACATTCAGTTCCAAGTTGGAAAAACAAGATGGGCCCCCAGGGAAGTCCTGCCTCTAGGCTTCTGAGAGAATGCTAGGGGCTTGAGAGTAGCAGGTGTTGCAGAGAAAAGAGTTCAGGACTCAGAGGCAGACACTGGAGTTCTAGGCTTAGCTCTGCCACTGAAACACTATGACCTCAGAAAATCATCTAACTCCCTCAAGACTCAACAACCCTTTTCTACAAAACAGAAGCATCAAGGTAAGTGGTCTCTGTTGTTATTTCCAGCCCAAAGGTTCTGGAAAAGTTCAAATTATATTTCTTCATTTCTCCTGTACCAAATAACCACAATTTCAGGCAGAAGAGAGGCCATGAAAAGACTATTCTCAGCTTACAAAGGACTGTTTCCTTGGGGAGTACAGTGTAAGACTCGTGGATTTTGTCATGGTGTCCCAGCTTCCCCCAACACAATTTTCTACATGCGGGAGACAGTTGTCCCACCCTCCCAGGTAACAGATTCTCACTGAGTCATGCAGTGGGATGGGGTTATTCTCTGCATATCTGTAGGGATTTTTGGTGAATGGGGTGGGGGAGTGCATGGAGCAGGGAGAGGCTTGTCTGGATTCCTATACCAGGCTGGCTTAGCCATACTTCCTTCCACAGGCCACAGGCCCCTGCTGTCCAAGAACCCTGAGGAGAGTGGACAGGCACCCCGCTCACTCAGTCACCATAGCATAGAGGCACAGGGGAAATCTGAGCCTAAGGGCATGTCCTCCAAGTTCAAAGATAAGGAGAGGAGGACAGGTGCCAACCAGTGTGTGAGAACTTCTATAAAAGGGAAGCTTCTAATGACCTTGCCTTCAAAAGTGGGGGTTACCATGATGAGAATGTTCAATTTTAGATACTCAGTGTTTGAGGATTTAAAATGTACGATGATCTGTATAAGTTGTGGTTCTGTAACATCTAGTAGGACCAAGAGAGCACATATACACTGCAACCTTACTGAAGCAATGTTTATCTGTGAGCCTGTGGTGAGCAAGTGGCTTAGTCCAAGGAATGGAAGAAGAGAAGAGACCAGGGAGAGGTGAGTATCCCCAAGCCCTCCCAAAGAATGGCCAGTGGGAACTGACCACACCTGGTGAACAGAAGCAAGACAGAGAACATCTAATAGGCCAAGAGGACAAAGCTCAGCCAAGAGAAGCCACTTCTGTGCCTCACACACAACTAATGCCCATTTGTGTGACACTCGGCCAAATCAGGCCCATGACTGTGCAGAGGAAGTAACTCAAAGTGAAGCCCAGCTGCTCACAAACCATGGGCAGGGCAAATCTGAGGGAGATGTCCTGGAAGGTGAGGGGGCTCAGCCTGGACAGGAGCAAAAAGACAACATGGGGCCAGGCTTCCTGTCTCTAGCCCAGGAGGAGAACTCTGCCCTTATTTAATCCCAGATGTCACCATGGATGGAACATTATAGTCTTTGTGGAAGCAGCATTTAAGCCCCTGCAGCTCCCAGAACACCACTCACCTGTGTACCTCCGGAGGTTCTCTCTGGATTTTGGAACTGGCCTCCACCACCTCTTTGGCAACTCTACCACTGCAAAAGATGGAACCACAACATCTGTGCAGAGACACTCAGAGCGGGGGGAAGCAATGTGGCATGTCTCTTTTTATTTTAACTTCACAACACTTTGCCCCAAATGGAGGTCCACACACCCCACCCCACCTCCACAGGAAATGTACTGTGAGCATCAAAAATGAGTGGGGCGGAATGGGAGAACCAACAGAACATGAGCCAAAGTGCAGTAACTCACAAGCCAAATATCCTAACATAAATGGCTGCCCCACGCAGCCCCACCTCCCTGATGGAACCACCGGTACCCACCTATATCGAAATCTGCTTCCTTTAAAAAATATCTTGCTGCTTGACACAGTCTTGATCTGGCTGGATTTTGCATACCTTCAAGAAAAGACAAAGCAGAGATGTTAGTGACATGGGTCCAGCAGGGGACCTATTGAGTTTGCTTCAGGGGATATTTTTGACTGCCAGGAAGGAGTTTTATTGTATGACTGTGCGTGTACATACACATAAACATATGCACTCATACTCGCAGCTGAAAGAAAAGTTCCACAAAAGGATAGTTATTTTCACTGTGTGTGCTGCAACCTGAGCTCTGTCATGCCAGTGATGACCCATCCAGTTCCATGATCCATGACTGCCTCATGACCTACCAAAAAGAGCAGGCATCACTGATGACCAGAGGGGTTCTTTTCCAAGTTCTTCTTGAAATCTACAGAAAGGGGGGCTTGTGTCATGGTGACTTCCCTTGTCTGACCCTACACAGCAATGTAAACAGCCCCCCGAGAACATGGATCACACACCATGTCACAAAGACTCTGCCTACTGTGTGTTGCCTGGATGGGAAAATGAGGGGGCCCGTGTCACCAAGGAAATGGCTGCCAACTGGGTGTGCCGCCTGCTAAGTCACACGACCCTGTGCCCTTTAAAATGAACCTGCCCTGGTGGCTGACTAAGAGATGGGAGGAACAGGTTGCTCAGCCAAGCACTGATTCAGCACCCCGGCCCTACCCGTGAACAGGCTAAAACAACACCGCTCTGAAAGGCCATCCAGAACACGGGTGCCTTGGGTGCCTCGGGGCTCCCACAGGACACTTGGTTTCTGGGATAGCACAGGCTGCCTCCCTGTCGGTCAATTTATGCCTCGGGCAGGCAAACCCGAGTTGTTAATCTAGAAACCACATCAATGAATGATGGACACAAATTGCAAGCTTGGTGGGAAATACACAATGAGAACATAGGGGCGAGGGAAGGTGCCCTGAGGAAGGGAGTTCTGTGCTGAGATCCCGGGTTGGGAAGGTATTAACCAGGGCAGGGTGGTGGACAGTCTGCTGGGCAGAAGACCCAGCAGGTACAAAATCCCCCATCACTGGGAACTGAAAGAGACGATGTCCCCATTGTATCGTATTAATAATTATCATCACTACCACTACTCTCTCTCTCTCTCTCTCTCTCTCTCTCTCTCTCTCTCACACACACACACACACACACACACACACACACACGTTTTCCCCTATTTTAAAGCAGATCCTGACCCTGAGCTGTCTTTATTACAGATTTTGGTGTTAGTCCTAAGGAAACGGACAGCCTTAGTAACAATCTTTCACCTGGGAACTGGTCTCCCGTCCACCTCTCCAAACGGCCTGACCCAAAAGAGAAGGGCACTGGCTATAAGCGATGAGCATGAAAAGTGAACTGGAGAGGTCCGTGTCATGGGTTGGAGATAGGAGCAGCCACGTCAGAAGGCACAGGAGCCCAAGAATGGCGGGGCCCATGAAAGCCACTCCCAGAAGGGGCCTGCCCCCTGGGAGGGGTGCAGACTGCTGGCCAGTGCAGGGTTGTAGCACACACCTCATCAGTAATGAGGATGCAAGCCCCAGCAAGCTGCACTAACACAGGGCTGTGCCCCTACTGTGAGACCACACCCACTTTGGGCCCTTCTGTGCCCAAACTCCAGAAAGGTGGGTGCCTGAGAACAGCGGTCACCAAGTCAGCAAGAGAACAGCTCTGCCTCCCCATCTTTTCTGTTCACTTAGTGGGTCATGTATGACTCAAAGCACCTTAATGTGGTACAGCGGGTGGGGATGCCACCCCCTCTAGTCAAAAACACACACATAGTCAGTCCTTAGTATCCACGGGTTGTGTCTAGATCCAACCAACTGACAGCCGTGAATGCGGAACCCACAGAGCACAGAGAAAATCAGCTTGTTAGTGTGCTCCTGAGATTCAACATGAGTCGGTCACCAAGCACAAAGGACTATGGTGACAGTTCACAGGTGATGTGATGGGAGGTTTACGGGGGTTACATATGAATGAAGAAATCAGCTATTGTACAAAAATAAACAACAATGTCAGAAAATAAAAAACCCATGTTCAAGAGTTGGCAGCAATTCACTTTATCGTCACACCTCTCCCACAGGAGGAAGAATCTACATTTTCAGGTGAGAAAACTGATGCACCAAAGGGCTGAATCCCCTGACAAATGGTGGAGGAAGCAGACTACAGCACAGGTCTGCCTGAGTTCTAAAAATTATGTTTCAGCCATGCAGCAACTCAGGCCTTGGCAAGAGCAGAATCACCTGGAAGGCTTTTTTAAACATGAGTTCTGGTTCAGTCAGGCTGGAGTGGAGCCTCTGTCTACACCCCTACCAAGTCAGAAGGAGAGGCGGGTGCCTGTTGGGTGGGTTTCCTTTGTGAGAAATCATGGGCTAAAGTATTCCCAGCCCAGGCTACAGTTCACTCCTCCTGGAAGACTTTCATTTCTCCCAGTATCTATGCCCCATTTTGTTGCAATACAATTCACATCCCCTCCGTTCACCTCTTCAGATGTATACTTCCTAAGTTTCCATATACATCACAAAGTTTAAAAAAGTTTATCATCAGGGCCTTCCCTGGTGGCACAACAGGTTAAAGCACAGCACTAGTTCAACCCCTGGCCTGGGAGGTGACCTACATGGCACAGCAGACCTCTCCTGACTCACCCGCTGCTCCCCTCAGCAGTCTATTTCAGTACATCTGCCTATTCTATACCCCACTCTGTCTCTGGTGAATCTCTCCAACATGCACCTCTGACCTGTACCCCAATTCTGTATACATAAATAAATCTAAAAAAAATTTTTATCATCAACCAGTGCATCACCCCCCAAAATTGCCTAGTACCCACTGGCAGTCATCCCTATATCACCTCCAGATCTCCCCCATACCCAATCCTAGACCAACACTAACCTACTTTCTGTCTCCAATGATCTCCTCCTTCTGGACATTTCATACACAAAATCATGTAACATGTGCCTTTTATGTCTGTTTCACTGGGCATCTTCAGGACTCATCTATGGCTAAAGATATCCCAGTGCCACTGATCATCAGTTCATGGATTGTATCCACTCTTTAGCTGTCATGAGTAATACTGCCATGAACATTCTTGAGCATGTCTCTGTGATGACCCGAGTTCTGATTTAACTGGGCCTGCACAGGTCATAGCCTCGTAGTTTGCAAAAGCTCTCCAGGTAGTCCAGGTGTGCATTGTGGCTGAGGCTCACTGGTTTTCTCCATGGACCTACAGCACAGCATCGCCTGAGACCTATTAGAAAAAGGCCTGTTGCGCCCACCCCTACCCTCCAATCGCCTCTCCACTTCAGACCCACTAAGCCAGAAGCTGCATTTTAACAAGAGCTGGTGATTCAGGTGCTCCATACAAGCAGTGAGGGGTGCCAGTGTAGGGAGCTAACCTGGTCCTCACCTACGAAGTGTAATACTATTCTTTGACCAAATGCACACCAATCTCCAAGTAAGAAATTCACAAGAGACCACCTTATGCTCTGCAAATAGCACCTTATGCACTTCCAGTGGTAAACTTGGCATAGATAGATGTTGATTTTTTAGTGAAGTACATTGAAAATTTATTATAAAACACTGCCAGTGGTAAACTTGGCATAGATAGATGTTGATTTTTTAATGAAGTACATTGAAAATTTATTATAAAACAATGCTACTCCTCCAATAGAGCCTGTGACATAATGAATGGAAATAACAATATAAAAAAGCCCCATAGCAATTCCAGGAGCACACTCAAGATGGAGCTCAGGACTTGACTGGGTCCCCCACAGTTTGGACTCACCCTGAACAATGGATGTACTTTATAATTCACCTAAGTATAATTCAAGGGACTGTATGGGAAAAAGATGAATGTGCAGCTATTTGCAAAATGTAAAATGTTCCAAGGGTGCTTGTAAAACCTATGATTAAATGAATAAAAAACTACTTACTTATAAAAGGCCTGGTTCTCCACGCCACATTTCCAAAGATGTTTACAGGCAGCTGGTGTTGAAGTATGGAAAGCCAACATAGCTTTTTTCTAATGAAAAAAACAACAAAACATAATCAGTTTATGTTTTTCATGTTTTCCTTTAGGTATTACCCATTTGTGTCTTGCTACCTACTAAAAGAGATGAGAAATAACTGCATTCTGATGTTCTGAAGTGCTGCTGAAATGCTCTTCTCTCCTCCTTCACTTTTTGCAGAAGTTGTTAATCTATTTAGACCCTCTTTCTGATAAAAGGCGCAATCCTCACTCTACAACCTCTCAATCAGTCTTGGATTACTTTAAAATGCACTTGCCTTCCTTGAATAAATAGCATTTGACTAAAAACATAGGTTCAAGAAAATCCACACATTACCCATCCCAGCTCTGAAGCTCAGATTTTCAGTAATCACCTCCCAAATGCATTTACTGCTGAACTCAACCTACATCTGGTAACTCCTATAAGAGGCTCAGGACTTATGGGGCCTCCCTGATAGCCCAAGAAATTAAAGCATAGTACCATGGAGCTATTTTCAATCATTGTAGCACAAGTTTGGTCCCTGGCCAGGGAGGTGACCCACATGGCACAGCAGACCTCTCCTGTCTTGCCCGCTGCTCCCTTCAGTAGTATACTTCATCAATCTGCCTGTTCTGCTCCCCACTCTGTCTCTGGTGAATGCTCTCACTGCCCCTGCACTTCTGGCCTGTACCCCAATTCTGTATGCATAAATAAATAAATAAATCTTTTTTAAAAAAAAAAAGAGGCTCAAAACTTAACGATTCTGTTCATAAAATATGGTATCGACACTGGCTGCAATCTAGCTCTGGAAGTACACTCCACTGGCTTCATAAATCTGTATCTTGGCAAATCCTAGGTAGCAGAAGGTTTCTATTTCTCTTTTTGAATATTATTTCAGTCTTTTTTTTACTCATGGATATCTAGTCATCACTGCTATTGACTTTACTCCTAAATGTGGAAAACCAGCGTTATTTGTTTACCTCTAAAATGTTTTCAGCATAGAGCTTCGATTATCATCACAAACTTTAGAGTCATAATGCTTGGAGGGTACAACACTCACATGCACACACCACCAACAGGTAAGTAAAAAAGCAGTATCTGACCTCTTTCTGGGTGCCAATCACATAAAATGTCTTCCCTTCAAACTTCAACTTGCAGACATCTGGCCTAAGGAAAGAAAATTTCTTTGCGTGAGAAGGAAAAAAAAAATGTGAGAGCTAACCAAAATACTGGCTTTCCCACAGGAATGTGGCTGGCTCACAAATGCCAAACAGTCAGCAATGAAACAAGGTATGATCTTATCATCGGTGAAGGCCTAGTGAACAGCGAAATGCTCCCAAGTGAATTAGACAGCAATTTTCCTCCCAAGAGAGGACCCCCAGGGAGCTCAGAATTATTTATTCCACTTCTTTGTTTCTTACAGTAAAGCTACACCTTCCTTCGAAGGAACTCCAAGGGTTTCATGAACATTAATGACCAAAAGAACATTAATTGGCCAACCAATGTTGTGAAGCAGGAAGAATGTGGTTCTTTCAGATCAGTTAGGGAGATGATGATGATTCACATCTCTCTCCTTCAGCTTTGCACATTCATCTCCTAGCTGCACATCCAACACACTGCAGGAGTATCATTTCTGCTCTTCCTATTTATAAAAGCACAACTTATTAGATCCTGAAATGCTTAAAATTGTGGAAATGTGATGAATGGCACTGCGCAGTCAACGAGTGACTCTAAATTTCATCTTAAGGAACTTGATTAAAATCTGCCTGAAAGGTAGACCCTGTGCAAAGAGAGGAAAGAATTCTATTTTTGTTCCTTTGTCTTAATTTCTGGAGTAGTATGTTCTCCTGTGCTTTTCCTGTGGGGTGAAGAATAGTGAGGTCCTATTGAGCTATTTTATTAGAGGATTTGTGAAAATGACAAAGTTCAATAGAATTTTTAAAAAGCAACTAGGATTAAAGTGGGGAGAATTTTTGTGTTAGTAACACAAGCATGACTGTTACAAACACGTGTGCAAGCAGAGAGTGGGACGGATGGGGCTGACATCAGAACCCCACTAGGAATACCAACACATGAAGCCCAGAACGAACCCAGATGTGCCCATCTCAACACTTCGACATAACCAAAAACAAACCGAGACTACTCAGGGGAGAGACTTGCAATTAATCTGCACTTAGACTTGTCTAATCGTAACCTAAGCACTACAGAGATCAAGCAATCCAGCACCTAACACACTTCGGGAACTCATCTTTCACAGTCCTAAGGGAATAGGAGGAAACACCCAAATTTCTCATGGTCTCCCAAAGTCAGTATGAATCCCTAGGGAACTTATTCAGGAATCAACTGAAGGGTGGTTAACATTCTTTACAAGGTACTGGAAACTCAGTGAAGAAACTAGTGGCACCACTGTATCACACATATACACATACATGCATAAAGCACATGTCGTAGTTGACAAAGCATACCACACTCACACATGATTTCATTCGCCTCTTCCCCATCTTCTTTCCTTCCTACAAGGCAATCAGATATAAATGCACCTCCTTAGGAGTGTGCAGAAATTAAGCAATGTATCTGGGCCAGTAAGAGTGCAGAAATGCAATTTGTAGAAGAGAACAATGGACCCAGAGGGGAGTTGAAAGTACACATTGAGTAAAAGGAAATGATAAAGAGGGTAAGAGAGACTTGGAAAGAATATGAGGCTCTTAGAAAGTGAGAGCTTATCATAAAAAACACAAGAGCAGACAGTATAAAGAGCCAAGTGGATGTTAGCTAACTGATGCTAATCTAGGAGAAAAGGACTGAAAAGAAAGTAGGAGCTAAGAGGTAATTGATAAGAATAGGGACTTGAGAGAGATGTGCTGGAGGAAGTCCTGGAGCCAGGCACCGAGAAACAGCGGCTCAGTGTGAGAGCACTTTCAACCCAGGACTAAAGATGAACTTCAGAAACAAAGGTTCAGGCCCAAGGAGTGAACCCTTCACCCAGGGCGACACAACACGGTCCACAAACCACTCAGGCCTGTCAGAGAGGAGACTGAATCAAGTGGATAGTGTAGACGAGATCACTCCTTGACAGTGCCAGTGCATACAGAATGACAGGTGTCCTTCACTCCTGCAAAAAAAACTGGGCTCCTTGATTGGACAGAGTAGGCACGCTGGCAGCCACTCTGCCCACCTCCACTGCTCCTGCCTTGACTTCATTCTTCTGCCAGGCATGTGTTCATGCAGTATGCTCTTTCTAGCCCCAAGAGGATGGATTTGATTTGACCCACTCGTCTTGGAGTTCCCATTCTTCTGGAAAGCGCTGGTTTAAGTAACAAATAGCCCCATCCTGCTCAAAGGAATGCACAGGAAGTCTCCTGCAGGGCTTCAGAGCCGGTTAGGATCACTTTAACAGAGGAGGGATCCCTCTCCTCCAGGCTGTGAGAGTCACTGTGTGAGGCTGAGGTGGCCACAGCTGCCCAAGGGCCACCTTAGGAGAATGAGCTTGATACCAGCATTAGCATCCAGGGCTAGCAGGGAAGAAAAGGGAGAGAACTGAGCCCTTTGGGTCTGCAGTTTTGTTATCTTAATAATCACAACAATGATGATAATATTAAAAAATAAATTCAAAGGCAGGAAAGACAGACAAGCAAAGAAAAATAGTAAATCAGTTTTCCAGAGATATACTCACCATTTTATCAAGTGGATTCTCTTATTTCCCTGGAATACCACAAAGCCTGCAGCAGTGAATCCTAAAAAAGTTGTTGTGCCTGTTGAATCCTGAAAAAATGAAAATGTATTAGAAAAATAAAAAATTTATAGAGGAAAATAAAAACGGAATGTGTATTCACTCTCACCCTGGGTTAATTATAGTAATTATAACAATAAACTAATTTCCTGTGATGGGAATTCTAAGGGCATGACTCTAAAATCTAGGTGAAGTCCAGGAATATGTAACTTTCCGCTCTGTGTTTTTTTTTTTAATTTATTTTATGTATGCACATAAGACCTGGGGTGTAGGCCAGAGGTGCAGGGGGTGAGAGGATTCACCAGAGACACAATGGCGAGCAGAACAGGTGGATTGATTGAAATACACTGCTGAGGGGAGCAGTGGGTGGGTCAGGAGAGGTCTGCTGTGTCATGTGGGTCACCTCCCCAGCCGGGGATGGAACTCAGGCCGCCGCAGTCACTGGCAACAGCTTGACCACACTGAGACTGTAACTCCTGCACCATCAGGGAGGCTGCCTTCCCCCTTTGAGGTAAAAAACTTCTGCTTCACCTCTCCTGGGACCACACAGATCAGCCCCAAACTACTATGTCTGCTTCCAAGCATCTTCTGGAGCCACCTAGGTCCTCAGCTTTGCCCTGTAACATGGGCAAACTGTTCTTGGTTGCATTAGCATTGAAATGGAGACTACAATGAAACCAACATCCCGAGTATCTAATCTAAATTGATTCAATCCACACATGGTTTCTGGCAATCTCAGTACAAAAATATGCCCAGAAATGCCCTGACTTCAGATGGAAAAACAGCATTTCATAGATAAGTGAAGGCAAAGGAACAACAATGAAATCAAGTCAGTCTCTGAATAATAAACACACTTAGATTCCATAAAGTCTAATTCACAGAATGGAATAATCCAATTTATACCATGACTAGGAAGAGACACTGGCAAATACTCTGATAGCTGAGTGAGCAGAGCAAGAGGCACATCCCCACGACTCCAGGACTTCAGGTGCTCTGCTGTGCCTGCATACTGGGGTCCTCTGGGAGCCTGGTCTCCATCCCCACGGATGCTGACAAGTTGGACCCAGGAGTCAGTGAAGCTTCAAGAAGCTTCGCGGGAGCCACCTGAGCTGAGAACTCTAAGACTAGAACTTTACCAAATCCTACCAGCTGAATGCATCTGGGGAAAGACAGTCCAGTGTGACTCAGTAACTTACCTTTAACACCTTGCCTGATACAAATGCTTCGTGGAGGATTCAGGGTGGTGTCTATTGCTACTCAAGGTAGGATATGGAAAGGAGAATGCTGCCTTCATAGTACGTTGTTGGAAAATGCGTACGTGAGAATCACTTTGGGAGCTTTTTCAACAGGCAGCCTCCCCAGATGCACCCCCAGTAAGTTTGATTCAGTAGCTCAGTGCTGGGGCCAGGTGATACTGACATACTTGTCTGTGTTCGTGCTTGAGAGAAATACTGTCAAAGGAGTAAACATTCCCACCCACCCCATCAACAAGGAGAACTTTCTTTTGGGAATGATTGAGTAGGTTATTTTGAGAGGAATGCTCAAAAAATGTTTCCATTTAAATTAGTGGTAATAGCATTGCCAGACCCCCCAAAATAACCTACCAAATCAAAGAGGAATGTTCTACTTTGAAAAGCAGGGGGAACCTTAAAAGAAAACAACAAATACTCCTAATATAAAAATACAATTTCAAATCTCTCCTTTTTCTTCCACTTTTCCTTCTTTTAAGGCTGCCTTCTTGCTGGCAATGGCCTTGAAAATAAATCTCTTAGGATCCTGTAACTTTGTCATTAAACCACCCATTTAATGTATGTTTGTTTAGGAAAAGTGGCTACCACATAGCAATTAACAAGTAACTGGAATACTCCGATGGATCTAATCAACTGAAGCATTTGATTGAAGCCTACCTCTGTCTCTTCCCATTAGGGGCAGTGGGTCAGGTGTGGAAATGACCTAGGAGTGGGCTGTCAACCTACTATAAGGGGCAGTTACCTTGCATGGGTGAGGATCCACCCCATAGGTTTCCAAAGTGTGAGCTTTCAGAAGTAGATTAAATTCAGCAACCGGTGGACTCTGGCCTCTAAAATCACAAAAGGAAGGTTTGGGGTATTAATATGGAAAATGATAGAAATAGGGCATCCCTTCATTCAGTAAAATGTGAGCACCTACTAAACAGCAATTGGTGAGACTGATCATTATTTCTCACCACAAGAAGCCCTTTGCTGAGATATCTGACCTTGTGTTCTTTGGCTAATTGTTCCATAATAAACCCACATGTACTCTGAGGACTCCAGTGACCTGCACTGTTAATCAAGGTTATCAAGTTACCAATACGCAGGCCCTTGCAAATTCATTCTTAATAGGAAATAATATTCAGCATCAGTTCTTTCCTTCTTATTTTAAAATTGTTATCTATAGTGAAAAGGCATTTCTTCTTGTTCAGGGAAGAAAGTGGACAACCTGTTACCCCATCAACAAGCACAAACAGAGTCATCTGGGTAAGATCTGTCAGCGATTCCACTGGAAAGCCCTGGGATTTGAAAGGAAATCTCAGTCATTAGTCCTAGCACCGTCCTTGAGGGTGGTAAACAAGTTCTTGGCCTCAGGAGGGTGAAAGAGCTACAAATATAGATAACTGTGAAAAGCCTTTTTGGGGCTACTTTCCAAACCAGGATCTGTGAGGCATTTCGAAGACCCCACTTCAACAAACATTAGTATTCCACAGGTATCTTGGAAAACTGAGCCATTCCCCAGAGATAAATATATAACCCTAACAGCCCAGAGAAGTTTGCTAAGGAAGCAACAGGAATTGATTTTTTTACTTTCAATGCATAAAACTGTATTGCAATATTAAAATCTGTTTCCCTGACAGCTTCTCCTCAAAGATGGGTATTTCCCTTAAGATAGCCAAGAATCACCACACCCTACAATCAAAAAACAGCACTCTACCCGCCTTCTCTCTAAAGACTTTTGAGATCGTCTTTTTACCCTGAATGTACTGAAATTTTACTCTGACATGTCTGAGGAGCATTTTATTCATGAGAAGCACTGAGAAAACTTTTAATCCAACAATTCACATCTTTCCTCCATTTCTTCATCTTTTCTTCCCTTCCCACCTCTCTCATTCCCTCCATTTCACTCTTCTCTTCTTTAAGACCTTAGTAATGGGACTTTGAAATACCTAGCTCTATCCTCCGTGTCTTTTAACCTTTGTTTCCAGCTTTTAATCACTAACCACACATACCATAGTCTTCATTCTTTTTATTTCAAACTTCCAGTTTGTTTTTCTGCACACATTCTGTTTCTCATCTCATTTGATTTTTTTTAAATATCAGTCAGTACTCAGTTTCCAAGGTAATGATTATATAGCCTTAAAGAAGTTGCCTGATTTTATTTTATGAAATAAATTCCTCCTGTTCCTCTGAGGAGATTTGCTTCAATTCTTTTAAAGTCTAATCCTCTGCTCCATTAATACCTTATCACTGGAGAAAGTCCTTTGGTTTGCTGCATCAGTTTTATTTATTGAGTTTGCATTTCTTGACAGGTTTGGTGAATCTTGGCCCTAGATACTCATCTTTCTAACACAATGGCCTACAAAGATTGTAGAGATGGGTAGTGGTGGGAGGGGATTCACCTTGTGGGAAGAGCCAGTAACTCTCCAGGCTCAGCTTTCAGTTCCCCTTGCCACACACTGTAAGCCTCCAGCAAGCCTGCTGTTGCCTATGACCTAATGCAAAGGAACTAGAAGAGGTAAAGTGCCACCCACAGCCCCCAGCCACAGATGTTCTTACCCACAACCATCATGGCCGCTCCTGTATCTGCAGCCCAAGGCACCTAAAACCACTCCCAGCCTTTTTATGTGTTTCCCTGGATTCACTGTTTCTTACCTCCAGAGAAACCTCAAGGCTTCTGCACCAAAAATGGCATTTTCTAATACTTTTCCAATTATCCATAGAATTGGAGGAGGGAGGTAGCAACATAAGCTACTTTTTCTTTTAGTAGAAAATTTTAAATCCATCCCTTACAGAAAAGACTGCTGAGGAATTAGCTCAAATACCTGCTTTAGGAAAATAAGGTCTCCCTAAGCCTTTTCAGATTTCCTCTTTAGTTTCAGTGTTCTCAAATTTCCTGTTTTTATGGAGCATCCTTATTTATTAATCCTGACCAGCACTGTGAGGACTCTTTCAATCCAATAATTCCTGTCCCTAGTGATTTGATTCTTTTTTTTTTTCAAACCACAGTCATTGTCATTGTTTCTCTTTCTGATAAATTAACAGCAAAACCAAGAGAGTTACCAATTTTCTTGATGCTGTGGGGAAAGGGACTTTTCTTTAACTTTTCTCAAAATATAAGATTTTTTTCTCTCCATAGCTTGCTAATAGATTCTTAAATATCTTATTTTTATCCAGAAAGTGATCGTTTTTAATAGGTAGCCAAGAGTTCTCTTTTTAAAATAAATTTGTAAATATAAACAAATATACTGTATTTCAATTTATTGTTCAAATTTTTGGCCAGTGAAAACCTCTTCATACTAGCTTCATAGTTCTCTTTGTAAGACTTTGTATGACTTCCTTGAATATTTTTTGCCTAGGTCTTGAAAAAAACTGTTTCTCCAAGAGCCCAACCGCTTTTTTTTTTTTTAAGATTTATTTATTTATGCCTACAGAACTGGGATACAGACCAGAGGTGCAGGGGTGGTGAGTGGATTCACCAGAGACAGAGTGAGGAGCAGAACAGGCAGCTCAATGAAGCACACTGCTGAGGGGAGCAGTGGGCAGGTCAGAAGAGATCTGCCGCCGTGTGGTCACCTCCTGGGGCAGGGATCTAACTCTTGTTGAAGTGGCTTTAGCTTCTCAGTGCTGTGCTTTAACCCGCTGTGCCACCAGAGAGGGCCCCAACTGCCTTCTAGTGAGAAATAGCACAAGAGATCAGACCTGGATGCTCTGGAAGAGCATTATTACTGCACTGGCCATTATTTCTAAGCTTTGTTTTGTGGTTTGTAGGTTTTTTAATTTTTTCATGGAGAAATAATTGACACATAAGGTTATATTGGCTTCAGGAATACAAAATAATGATTCAGTACTTGTATGCATTGTGAAATGATCACCAATGATTCTAGTTACCATCTGTCACCATATGTTTCTATAAAGGCTTGGTGATTCTTAGCTGGATGTTCAACTTTGTATCTCATCAGTCTTATCGCAGTGACCTCCAGAGGTTGTAGGAGAGGGTAGGATGCAGCAGATGGAAAAAAAAAGTTAGGGTTTAGTTTAAAGATAACTACTGAACCCAGATACTGGATGTGTTTTCCACCCCTTCTTGTATGTACATTCATCTCACTCCCCAGGCCAGGAATTAAACAAAACTGAGCTATCCTATGGATCACTAAGTACCCCTCTCAGTGATGAGCAGACTGAGAGTAAACCAGGACCCAAGCCAACACAGCCCAGTGCCCCCCACATCAGAGCAAAGGGGCAACAAAGAATGGTTTTTAACACTTTTTAATCATTTAAAGCAATCAAATGAAAACTATATAACAGTGTCTATAGTGTTTAATTGGGTCACGGTCGTGCACATTTGTTTGCACACTTGCTACATGCTATGTCACAGCGGCAAAGTGAGTGTCTGCACCAGAAAACACATGTTCCGCAAAAGCCTAAATGCTTCACTGTCAGGCCCTGTACAGGGTTTGCTGAACCCTGATCTAGGAACAGAAGACAGGAATAGAGGGCAATAGGAATAGAGCTGTGTCTCTTCGATCCATAAAATGAAATTAAAATAATACCACCTAGATAAAGATTAAACAGGTAACAGATACCAAATAGACAAGTGCCTGGATCAGGCTACGCTCTCTCCTTACTCGCAGAATAGCAATAGTTCCCTCGCTAACCTTGCATATGACTGAAACCAGAAATCTGACATTGAAGAAATATAAGGCAGCACACCAAGATATGTACAGCAAAGTGAAGTTCCTTCTTTAAAATAAAAGTCCTCAAATCCATATCATTGGCTTTGGGTTTCACTGTAGGTCTCTGGGGCTTAAGCTTTAAAAGAATTAAATAATATTCAAATAAAAGTAGTAAACGGCATCCACATGATCCTCATTTTGTTAAATTATGTATTTAACATGTACAGAAAAAAAAAGATGAAATGATATATTGTCAAAAGAATAGGAAAGTTAGCTTGATCGTGAGGTTTTATGTAGGTCTTGTCTCTATTTTTTTTTTTTTTGAGATTTTCTAATTCTCCCAATACCACACTATATTATTTTTACAATTATAAGAAGTTATTTTAAGCAACAACAACAAAAAGAGTCTAAAAAGTCAGACACAAAGAAAGGCTAACTGGAAATATTCCAGGGAAGAAGAGGGCTCAACTCTAATTGAGAAGGGAGCAGGGACAAGTAACGACAACAGAAACTCCTGAGTCCCCTTCACTCCCTAAGGAAGAAGCCACTGAATAATCAATTGTTCAGGAAGAGACTGAGATCAATTCAATAGAAATGGTTTAACCTCCTGTCGGTCATTTGTTTCTGGCAAAATCCTGTTATGTAATAGAAAATAAATGATTTTCCATCCTTTAAATTTTGCCCCAGGAAATGTTTGCTAAGATTGACACTGTTTCTGATGAGACCTTAGAGGCAAATTTCTCTAAAAACAAAGAATGCGTTGAATTCTTTTTTAAGAGCTCATAGTTCTCTAAAGATAGGCTTTTCTAATGAATCTGGTAAAGTCAGTAATTATGTATTTACATAAGTATATGTCCCTCTGTCTGCCTAAGATACATTTTGACAAAGAGGAACACTCACCTTGGTCCTCTACATATCATCACATAGAATACAAAGATGTACACAATTCCAAGTCTGAATGCAAATTATGAGCACACATTGTGCCATGTATATGGATCTTCCCAGTAACTGTGTTTGGAGCACAGTTTGCAGGGAAGAGGGTGGCCTCATCTCCACCAGATCCACTTGGGTTTCTGAGCTCCAGAACTTTAAACTCATGGGTGGACGACCAATCTAGTGGCCTACTAAAAAGCAGAATTCCCTGTGCAAATTAAGTTAATTTTTGCTGCACAGAGTGGCAATATAAGTTAGCGTTTGCTAACCACTCAAATGCTTGAGAGTTCTATTGGGAACTAAGACCTCCTCTCAGTGGGACAAATTTAAATGAAATCTGTAAGTTGTAAGCAATTCTACTTTACACATAATTTTAGAAACAAATAGGATTCTCATTTTGTTAAACTTATTTCTGAAAGTAGAGAGTGAATGCAGAACTTGATTCCAAACCTGCTGCTCCACATGGTTAGAAGAAAAATCAGTAAACTAGAATGTGTGGGTCAAACTTGGCCCACTACCTGCTCTACAAAATCTTCTGCCCTACAAAAGCAGAGTTGAATGGCTGCAGTAGAAACCATATAGCCTAGAAGATCAAAACAATCATTAACTATTCCTGAACTGGAAGAATCTGTCTCAATAGGCTTTGACGCTGACAACTGTTCAATAATGTGAATCAAACATCTCCACATCCTCTACTTACAAGATCTTTAAAAGGACCAAAGATCTAGAACATTGACCATGTCAAATGCTGCAAAAATATGAGACAAGAAATCATAAAACACTCATGTTTGGTGAGAAAGCAAAATGATGAAGTCTCTTTGTAAGATAGTTTGGTAGTTTCTTACAAAATTAACTATACTCATAACATAGGATTCAGCAATCATGCACCTCAATATTTATCCAGAATAAAAAAATTTATGTCCACAGAGATGCTTATTCATAATCACCAGAACATTCAAGAAACCAAGATGTCCTTCAGTTGGTGAATGGATAAAATGTGGAACATGCAACGAAATTATTCAGCAATAAAAAGAGCTATGAGTGAAAAGACATGGAGAAATCTTCAATGCATGTCACTAAGTGAAAGCAGCCTACAGGTGTGGTCACAACCATAAAACATTCTAGGAAAGGCAAAAATATAGAGGCGATAAAAAGATCAGTGATTGTCAGGGTCCAGAGGGAGGAAAAGGTGAATAAACAAAGTGCAAAGAATGTTTAAGGCAGCGAGAGCATATTCTATAGGATAATATAATAGTGAATATGTCATTCTAACACTGTTACAACCCATAGACCCCACCACCACCACCCAACATCAAGAATGAACATCAAGATATATGCTCTGTGGGTGACACTGAAGTATCAGTGTGGCACCAAGTATAGCAAGTGTGAGTAAAGAGGAAGGCTATGTACGTGCTGCAGCAGAGAGTAGAGGGGAAATTTCTGTATATTCCAACTACAGCTCAATTTTGCTGTAAATCTTAAAGTGCTCTGAAAAATAAAGCATTTTATAAACCAAAACCTCTACTAGTCAATGAGACTGAAAGCCATTGGAGCTGTTTTTATTTCTTTGAGGGGGGGGAGCGCTGTGTGTGTATGTATGTATGTTACATCATTGTTCATTTTTGTACAGTATTTGATTTCCCCCCCTCGGGTGTAGTCCTCCTAAAACTCCCACCATCACGTCACCTGTGAACCATCTTCAGCAATCATAAAAGATAAACTCACGCCATCTGCAGCTACATGGATGGAGCTGGAAGGGATTATGCTCAGGGAAATAAGCCAGAAGGAAAGTTTCACTTATCCAAGGAGTATAGGGGACCAAACAAGGGCTCGGGGGTAGGGGGAGGAAGACAAAATTAACTGGCAAATTATAAATCCATTGGAGCTGGATGACAGCTGTTCCAGTATTCTCTTTTTCCATCGCCTTAACTGTCATTCAACCATGTAACTGCCATGAGGGACTACAGTGAACAGAGTTCACCTCCCAGCTGACCTTGGTAAACACATGGCAAATCAAGAGATAGGTCTTTATTATCCTAAGCTACTGAGTCTTGGGGTTGTTTCCATAGCAAAATCTAGTGTAACTGTGACTCAGAGAGAGAATCAATACTGTTATTTATAAACTGTGACTTGCCCCTAACCACTCCCCAGTTCAAAGATGGGGTACATTTGAGGAAGCAGAGTTAACCTAGGCATGAATTTCAGTCTTTACTCAGACATATCTTAAGCATTCTAAAGGAATCTAAGAGCTTAGTCCATGGAAATTCTGATTAAATCTCATCTATTTGCAGCATCTAGTATTCCAAGAAATCCCTCTGTTTCTTCCCTCTAGACACACCTGTCTATCAACAATGTGTAGTCTCCTGGGGCGGGAGGATTTTCTTCCTCCCTGATTAATCTCCCAATAATCACAGCTTTTGTCCTTTCCTTGGGAACCCAGAAGGAGAGTGATTATTATAATCAAGTGAAAAAGCTGGAGGAAGTTGTGAACCCCCACAGGTAAAAATGTTTATTCCACTGTAAATCACTGCCATCATTTCTACTAATGTTTGAGTGTCTCTTCAGCTGTCTATTTTGTTTTCTTTCTCAATGAGTTCAGAAAGCAGGGAGGAAGTAGGATATTGGAGGAGGGCCACTCAGATCTCAACAAAGGCCAGCTGGAGTCCTCTCAGGAAGTTTTTGTCACAATGGCTCAGTGGTGGCACATCGCCTTTGCTGTGGGGGAAGGTGATGGGTGGTGCAACATGGGTGGTAGGGTGGTCGCACATTGGTGCAGCCTCTGGTAAGTCTCTCCCATCAACAAACGCCTCTCTGACATCATTCAGTGGACAGAGCAAAGGTCCAGCTCCCACACATAAGACCAACCCTGTCACTTGTTAACCAAGGGCTCACTGGCTTGCCAGAGCAACCTCAGTCTCCACAACAGATTTCCAGACAATTCCAGGGGACCCTTCCCTTCCTCATACTGTCAGCTTCTTTTCTTAATGTTCTCATCCAAATCTAAAATCTCTCTGCTGCTCTGAACAAAACATACGGTGACTTACGGTTGAGCAAAAACACACAGAAAAACACCCCCTGAAACTCTCCTTACAATGTGACATAATTTCTGGCTGTTTCACCTTTTAGACATTCTTCCTAAAACTGTCTAGATGTGACATACATGTAATGCCACAAAACAGCAGCTTTGGGCAAGCTGTGAAGCTGATTTCTGAGAACTGAACCATGGCTGATGGATAACACCCCTGAGTGCAGATGACCACTTTTGTAGTTACCAACAAATTCAGGTGTTAGCACAAAGTCCATTCTATAGCTTTTTAATTATAAGTAACAATCTGGAATATTCTTCAGTTCACTCATTCATAAAACCCAATGGGTTACCAAGTCTTGCTGCCATGTCTCTCTCCTTCCATTTGCTCACTTCCTATTCTTTTCCAGGTCCATAGCATCTCTTGCCTGGGCAGCAGAAATAACTAGCTGGCCCTCCAGCCCACTGTCTCTATCATCTGGTGCCACTATGGAACATCAACATGACTCTGGATGCCTCATGACCGCTCAACAGAGTAGATGAGAACCTGGGCATCTATGTCAATAAGAACCAGGTTCAAGTCATGATTGTGCCACTAACAGGACATGTCCTTTAGCCATGCCTGGCTGTACTCTTTTCACCTGGGACTCAGAACAATACCACCTACCTTGTAGAGTCTGGTAGGACTGACTAGAAGAAGACATAGTGTTTTGGCACCCAGTAAGTACTCAATAAACATGTCTCAAATATTCCAAGCATCTCAGGCCCTACAAATTCTGACCACAGCAGACCTTTCAATCCCTGTCTCCTACCAACCCACATAGTGAATGTGAGTCCTTCATCTTAAATGTCTCACCCTGTGCTTCCCAGAGGTTCCAGGTCCACAAACCCCTCAACCAAAATACTGGAACTTTGTGTCTTTATAATTTTTAATCTCTAGCATGCCCCTAAAATGTAAAAACAGTAGGCAGTGTCATATAATTTCAGCAAAGCTTTTCATTAGAAGACAACAGTGTAAAATTACTCCAGTCAATGGTAATTTGAGATCGGTACAATTTTTTGATGTCTAATCTTCATCAGCAAGAACAAAGGCCACATCTTTTCTAAGCTGAAATACGCTGCAAGCTTTAATGCCCTCATGCACACACTTCTCAGTCTCACCAGAAGGGGGTGCTGGAGCACTGCCTCGCCAGGGATAATTATTTATTGTATCAGAATTCATAATCCAGTGACAATATTTGCTTACAATAATTCCCAGAGGCCCAGAAGCATCTCAGCTCTTGTTGTTCTTCAATGGGTACCCACTGAATTGAATGTTTCTGTTACAGGCTAGATAAGTTGTCTGATTTTCAAAGTGGGATGATTCCTATGCATGCACACTCCGTTCCTTTTAACCTATACATAGTAGAAGTGCCCCAGTGTTCAAGTTTGGCACCAGGCTGCCTGGATTCAAATCCTGGCTCTCCCACCTGCTAGCTCCATGATCTTGGGTAAGATGCTTAATTTCTCTGTGCCTCAGTTTTCTCCTATGTAAAACAGGAATAACCATGGCACCCAGTCTGCTAGATCATCAAAGGTTAAATGAGTCATTACATGCAAGTTAATTCCAAGAGTGTTTACTACACCGTGAATATGGTGTGCAGTCTTGCTGCTTCTACCTACCGCTACTACTCTGCAGTTAAGAACTTCCTGGAGCACCACGGACGCTCAATCTGTCATCTTGAAAGCACATAGGAAACCTTGCCAGTGAGCTTTACTTAGATTTAAAGTTTCTAGCAATTGTGTCAGGAGGAGCAGTCATGCAAAATTCAGACTAGTAAGGCTTACATGTTTACTCTAGATTTCACATTCAGAATCTCAGGGTGGTTAAAACCCATGAGAAAATATATGACTGTGATAACTATTGACGGTTATAAGCAGCAGCCCTGAGACTGCTGTGGGAGGAGGACTTTGACAGTAGCCAGAAATATTGCTCTGCTGTCTGAAACAGTCTCCCCGAACATTACAAATATTCTCACTTTACATTATGTCCACACGCCTTGCAATAAGAATACATTCTCACCTCTATCGTTCTTACAAATGTCTATCCCTATTACCTGAGTTCGTTTTTATGGATTTCCACTATTTTTCTTTCCAACTTCTGTGACTGTTTTGGAAAAATCTCGAACTCACTGATGTAATTCTCAGGTTGCTCATCGGGATCGTAATCACCAAGTTCAGCTGTATCCAATTAAAAAAAGAGAAAGATTTAAAAACAAACAAACAAAAAACAAAGAGCAGGAGTCACATGAACTGGCTTCTACCTCCCCAACCCCCTGCCAAAAGCAGAGCTTGGAATAAGCTCACCAAGCAATATAAACTCAGATTCTAGCTCAGATCTAGTTGTGTGCAATTGGGCTCTAGCCCAAGAGAATTGAGTCTTGTTTTCTTCATCCGTACAATAAAGGAAGTCAAGTCATTATTTCTCAATTGGGTACTACTGGCAGATGGTCCTGGAAGGGCAAAACAATTCTTTATTGTTTTTCAGACCTCCCAAGGCAAGTTAGGACACTTAGGCCCCTGCCTTCAGGTAGTAATAGTGGCATATACAATCGATGTGAAAACCAAAAATCCCCCTAATAATCTGGAATGTTCCCCAGGAGAGGAGGTGGTACCATATCTAGTAGGAAACGACCGGATGTTCCTCAAGTTTCTTTTCACTGCTAATTTTCTCTGAGTCTAGGAACTCCCTGGCTGGAGCTGCCTGCCCTGAGATTTATAGAAGTGTGGTTCATTCATTGAAAATCACAACATGAAGGCCCAAGAAGATTTAAAAATAAATGGATTGCTCTTCAAATTAGAGTGTGTACCTTAGCATGGCCTAGAATACCAGGTTAAGATGGTTGCTGGATTCTAACACAGAACAGCCACCTTCAGAGGGTGTTTCAGTGTATCTATCAAGAAATGTCTGCGCATCTGAGCATCTGGAGGGTCTAGGAGACGATGGACTCAGGATGTGCTTGAAACACAGCCTGGAGCAGCAGCAGTGATAGTTGGGCAGTGGAATATCTTTCTAAGGATTTCACAAGCCTGCCAAGGGAACAAGCCAGCAGGGGCAAATACTCAGGCAGAAAGTGGGGACCCAGTGCAGGAGAGTAGAATATCAACCGCAGGGAAATTGTATGAGAAAACCTGATCCACCAAAATGATTTTAAGGTAGAGAGAAGTCAGAGTACCTTGAGCACATCTGCAGAATTGTATACAACACTGTAATTTGTATCCACTGTCCTTTCACTGTTGAATCATCTAATGACTGTGGAAGGAAAAAACTGGGAGGAAAGCAAAGCTCTTTAAAGCTTCCTAATAAGAGTCAAATTACAGAGCTCTTAAAATGACCCAAAATGTATACCACGTTGGGGGTGAGGGAGGGAACTTTTGAAGAGAACCAAGATAATACCATCAACCCTAGGGGAAAAGATTGAGGAATTTAAACCCAACAAATTAAAGCATTTCTTTTTACTAAAGGACAACATCATCAAAGTAATAGAGGACAAGTTGAGAAAACACTTGAAACATCTAAAGTGGCTTAGGCTCGTATCTAGAATAAGTGAAAAATCCCCATAAATCAATGAGAAAATGGTCAAAGGATATGAACAGGCACGTCACAGAAGGGCAAACCCAAAGGGCTGGTGTATGGAGAGATGCTCAAACTTATCACTAGTCAGAGTTATGCCAACAAAAAAGACGAGCTCTAGAAGACTGTGCACCTGTTAATTAGGAAGATAGATGAGTGTGTGTGTTGTAAGACAGATGAGGAAATGGATTGTAAAGGTGTGTAGTTCTTCTACAAAAGAATCATGTACACTAGGAGTACTCAGTCAACTATGATGATTCCACAATCACACTTCAGGGTGTATATTCTAGAAAAACTCTGAGTGAATAAGGAGACAACATAGGCATTCCTTACTGGTGGAAGCGAAAGGTAAACCATAGGGGTGCAATAACTGGTCCACAGGAAGGAAGACCAACACGAGACCTAAATGTCTTCAATTGTAAATGTCAGCTGTGCGAAGGGAGGTTCTTCTCTTGCCAGGGAACCTTGTGAGGTATAATGGACATGTACTGCTGAACACTGCAAACAAGTAGCCTGGCGAAGACCAGAAGATTAAGAAGAAATGTCATGGAAACTACACAGGTTGCTGAGAAAGTAAATGTCAATCCTCCCTTACCCAATGCTCTATCTCTTTTCCCTTAAAGTTTGTCTTTAATTCTGACTTCACCTGAAGCAAATGGTGGCTGATGGTGGATTAAGTACTTCTACTGCACACACTTCATATCAGAGGAGTTGGGTACGTGCCTTGTAGTTTTCTCTGACACGATTTCAAGGGTAAAGTTGTGACAAATGACACACAATACATTGGAAGTTATGCTGTGAAGAAGGCTTCATGGAACTTAGATTCCACATAGCAGGGGACACATAGTAACAAACAGTTCAAATTTAAGTGCTTAAAAGACCATGGGCATGAAAATGAATTACGTGCAGGGAAAGTCTATTTTAGGAGCTATGAAGCATTTCATGGAGGAAGTGACATCTGAACTGAGTTTTGAATATCTAAGAGTCACCGATCCACAAGGGCTAAACATATTAGGAAGAGGAGATGATTACAGAAATCCTGTCATGTTTCTGTTTTGCAGAAGAAACAAGAAAGATCTTTTTACCCACAAAGGATTTAAATAGATTCTAGGGTTTTGTGTGTTTTTGTCCTACAAATTGTATCATGGAAAAAAAAAATGCACGGCATACATTGAATATGCCCATTGTATTCCAGGTGTTTTCTGTATTCCAGCTGATTGCCTATTTTGTTTATACTCTGAATACACTGAAGTTTAATATATGCTCCTTCAAAGAGCATTAGCAAACAAGATGTTAATTAAAAGTCACATGGCCTTTCACTTTCTAATCTTTTTCTGCATATTTCCTGTTACTCTCTGGAAGACTAAGCAGTTCTGACAGCAGATTTTATCTGCATTTGTAAATGAGCGCTAGGGCCTCTGAATTATCACTGAAGCATCAACCTTAAGGAATCCAGCTTTTACTGGGTGAGCTACAATGGTTCATGGACAGCACTGCATTTTAGAGCCAAAAGGTCTTTATGTGTTCTACCTGTCTGTTTCTAAGTTCACTTACTCCACAGGATCTGTGAATGGCCAGGGATAATAGCAGCAAGAGATAAACGAGGGCCCTGATCATCTGGATGGAGGCTTTGGGGCTTTATTGTGAACATAAATAGGATGAGGTTTCCATTACTATCCCTGGAGGGTGCCCATAATTCACTAATGCCTGAATGCATTCGCACATCTTCATATGACAGCCTGTTGCTTCGATTCATGTCAATTCACTTATCCTCACAGTACAGTACACCCCATCTCGGGATCTGCAGTTTTCACAGGAAGCGAGAGAGTTATAAGGCTCTGATACTCCCTAGCTCTGATGAAAGGGAGGCTGACTTTGGGAGTACATACTTGACTCCAAGGCAGATACTGTACTACTTGCCATCAGACTCTGACTACTTTAAACCTGACTCTACCCAAGAGCGTTAATGCCTCTGCCAAGTCAACTACCCAGCACTATGGAACTCCCAGCAGAAGGGGAAAGTGTCCCACAAAAATGGTGGGAAAACCCCCGGAGAATGATGGTCTCCAAGACTGTATGAAACTTAAGAGTTGTGAAAGACGAGAGTGTTTGTGAGCCTATGGCCACTTCTAATCCATCATGAGCCCCTTCATCATTCATTGTTCTAAGACTCTTCATAAGGCTAACAAGTTCACTTTGTAATCTTACTCTCCCAGCCCAGCCCCACCTCCCCACACACCTCCTCCCCTCACCTCCTTATCCTCTCTTCTCTCACAAACATGTCATTAGCACTCACAAATGGCTGCTATCACCTGCGTCCCTCCAAATAGGCCCTGCAGCCAGCTGCCTGCTGATTGGCCCAGGGGACTGAACACCTGTGTCATCTTCACCCAGCACTGGGCCCTCCCCACGGCAGTGTGCTGCCTCAGGCCCTGGACACCTCCTTCCCTCAACTTCTCACAAAGTGAAACATCCAGAAGCCAAGCTTGGGTCACGGTGCCTGCTGCATCCCACCACCCCACCCTCTGGGACTTGTTCAGTCCTAAAAATAAATCGCATGAACTCTTCACACAGCTGTGAAGGATGTGGCCACCCCATTTAAAATGTGAGGAAACTAAAGCATAAAGAGCTTAAATAATTTGCGTGGTGAAATAACTGAGGAATGGGAAAGTTCAGGAGCTATGAGACCCTGAGCTCCCCGCCATGGTGAGAAAAGTAGAAGAATCAGCTGTACACATGCATGTATATACACAGATGAGTACATGTGTGTATCTATGATGTGACAAGCCTTAACATTTCACAGCAAATGCTTGAACTGACAATTGCTGGACACCTGATGTTGTTCCCCTCAACATACCACTAGGCCCACACCCGGCAGCTCAGACCCAAGAATTTATAACCAGAGAAGACCAGAGAAGTTTTCAGAGCTTCTTATAACTGTACTAGTTCCAGGCCTTTAGGCCCTAAGCTCTCCAACAGGGACTTGGGGGGCCCTTTGTCTTCAGAGCATCATAGATGTATCTGCCACCAGGACCATGCTGGCTTGTGGGGAAGGAGAATAGAGACTCTGTTGCCAAGTACACAACTCCATCTAGTTTCGAACCATGGACTTAGGCAGGATGGGAGCAGAGGAGCATGGAGCAGGCTCTGAACAGCCCAAGCCACACACTCCAATGCAGTGGGGGTGGGAGCGATGGCCACACTTACCTTGAACAATACAGGCACCCAGGTAGGCAGCATCTGAAAAGGAGCAGAGCAGTCGACCGTGGAAAATGTCTCTTTTAATTTGCAGGTACAAAAGGTACCTGCAATACAAAAGGAGAAAGCGTCTCCCTAAGATTTGATGTAGCTTTGAAGTAGGGAGAAGACTGTTCATGCTTCACCCACTGGGGTCACCACAGCTCCTCCACCCCCAGCTCTGAGGAGTGGCCTAGTCACACCAAGCCTCTTGGAGCAAGCTGAGGACACTGTGAGGTTCAGAAATCTGTGGGTTCAGAAATATTTCTGTCTGATTGCAAAGGTGGGTGACGAGGCATTTTCGAAGACACAAGGAGAAGAACCAAGGAATTGACAGGCCTCACGCAATAATATTCACAACTGCCATCACCACCTCCACGGCACACAGCACACGGCACACGTTCGCCACATGGTGTGAAGTGGTGAGCTGGGGAGCGGAGTTAGCAGTATAGGATAGCCAGTCTGGGAACAGACAGACACAGTAACTCATCTCAAAGAGCACAGGATGAGGCCGAAAGCCAATATATTCAAACCAGAGTTGTCATCTGCTTAGTGCCCTCCTCACTCCAGGGAGGGCAAACCCAGAGGCCACAGAGCCAGCTAATGGAGGCAGAGGGCTGGCAGAGGGGGCTGAGGCTGAGTGGAGAGCAAGTCAGTCAAGTATTGCCGAGAAGGGGAGCAGATCAAACAAGTCCAAATCTTCCAGAAATTCAAGGGGGCTGGCTTTAGAAATAAAATCCTTGGAGTTTAAAAATGTTGCAAGAAATTCTGTCGTTAAAAACACGGCAGCACACCAAGCCAAAAAAAAAAAAGTGATTATGGATCCAATTTAGCTGGGGGCAGGGATGGGGTGAGGGGCAAAAGCAATTTGCAACTCCTGGCTCAGCTCATCTTGTCACTGTCCTTTCATCCTCCACACAGAGTCCTCCTCGGATTTCCTCACAGCTCAGGATTCTTTGCATCCAGGTTCAGCCCTGAGGTCTCTTGTTTCTGACCAGAATAACTTGGCAGTTATGTGCAAATTCATTCTGGCTTCTTCGACTGTTTAACTCTCTGAGGCCAATCTTTGTTTTCCTTTCCACATTCTTGGGGTGAGTGAGGACACCCCTTAATCCACCCCAATTACCACCTGTAGTGCTCAAATAATCTGATCTGCACTCAGCCTATGAGGATCCAGGTGCACAGCCCCATTTTAACTCGGAAATGGGGAGCTGGAAATGGTATTAATGTGCTAAGAATGCCGGTGCTCCCAGAATGCAGGTGCTCCCCAAGTGAATGTGAGTCTTCATCTCACACCTGCTTTTTGCTGAGCTCTGTGCAAGGCAAATACCTGAAGTGATCGACCTTTCTCCTTTTTTAAAGACTGTCAACTACCAGGCCAAAGGCCATGAAGTCTCTTTTCTGTATGCTACATGTAGTCACTGAGCAAAGAGCACTCCTTTTCACTTTTGTATGAGTTCTGCAGTGATAAGTAGTTTCAAATAACTATGTACTAATAACTGAAAGGTTTGGGTTCCAATCTTATAACTCATAAATTGAGTTTGATGAATGCTTCCTGAGAAAACAAAGACAGTTTTCACAACATCTGACAGTTCAGGTCCTTGATCATCTCTAGAGATAATCAGAGATTACTATGGATTCAGTATAATCCACTGAGTTTTACAAGCAGCATCAAACCCATTTACTCACTTTTAATACATTAACCCACAAAAATAATAATGTATCTTGTATCTTCTTTTAGTTTCACTCCTGCATGAAAGGTTAAGCAAAAGACACAAGCTCTTCAGCATACCTTAAATGACCATTAGTATTCCTCTCCTAGGCAACATGAACTTAAAGATAATTTCTTATTAAAAAATATTAAAAATATCTGTGATTAAATTTAATTTACAGCAAATTTAATTTACAAATGCCCCAGAAATATAAAGGATTGTAAGATGGCTGCTGAAATGGAAAGCTAAATGATAGGCTAAAAAATCATTTCAAAAAAATTTTTTTAAGTATTCTCAATTCTTTTGCTTTTTAAGCCTGCCTCTTACTCAGTGCTTCTTTGCTCCTAAGAATGGTAATGAATGTGGTCTAAATTTCTTATATTAAAATTTCTTAAATTTTATTGTAAGGAAATCTTACAATAAAATAATATCCAACAACAACAACAAAAAACTAAATAAATTCAATGTAGATTTTAAGCCCTAAGTACCCGAGGCATTTTAAAGTTTCCGGATTTGTTTTGAATTCCAAGGACTCTGATGACTAAGAAAAGCTCATTTGTACCTGGCTAAGGACAGGGCATTGCCTTAATTTCCTTAGTGGACATAAAAGTAGTCCCAGATTTCTACTATTCACACCTTACCACTCAGTTCAATTCAAGGAAATGCAAGCAAATTTAATTTTGTGGTAAGGGGTTTAACTAGTTATTAACTAAAACTTTGTACTCTCTTACTTTCAAATGGAACTTTTTCTTAACAACAAAAGATCCATCCTTAATTTATATTGTGCTACATATTTACTTTTTATCCTCTAATACTGTAAAGAAAACCAAGTATGAGCCATTTGTCACCTGAAAAAACAATGCCAGGTGTTAGCATTTGATTTTCCTAATTCAACTGTTAGCACCAAGAATGCAGGACAGTTATCTCTACTTCTACAGCTCTCTTCCCTCCCCCTCCCCTTCTCTTCCCTTTCTCCTGTCTCTGTCTCTGTCTCTTTCTCCCTCAGCAAATAGAGCCTCTGACCTCTGAGCTATGCAGATCCTAGGAATTAAAGGTGAACTTCTAAAATAAGTGAATCGATTTTTATACCCAAAAGCAGGCCAGCCACGAAATGTATGAATCCATTGACTGAACATGTCTACAACACAGTGTATAGATTAGCGGTTGCCAAGGGCTGGGGGAGGGGAAAGTAAGAAGCAACTGCTGACCACTCCAGGATGATGAGAAAATGTGCTGGACTACACAGCTGGGACAGTTGTCCAATATTTTGAATATACTGAATTGCATACTTTGTAATAGTGGAATTAATTTATGTTATGTGCATTTTACCCCAACTTTTTAAAGCAGGCCAAATTACAAAGCATCAGCTACAACTTTTTGGATGTCCTTTACCTAGTTATTTCTACTTTCTCAACACATATCCTCCTACCCCAAGTACAAAGCTCACTAACTGGCTACGCAAAAATAATAGAAAACAGCACCATCTTCTCCCTTCCAAGGTCACCTCATTGCCAGTATGGCCAAACTTCACCAAAAACACTCTTGAATAACAAGAAAGGAAAACATCAAGAACCAAAACTTCCCCCTGCAAACTACCTTTAAATTTTTCTTGCTTTTGGACCTGTGCAGATTATTTTGGAGAGATGAAGATATAAAGTATTATTGCAGTCACCAAATCAGAACTTCATCAAAAATTAAGTACATAACAGCTCTTCTCCATCCACCCAGTAGCCCCATGGGGGACTCTGCTCAGTATCAGTGAAATCTGTTCACACAAGCAAAACCCCCAGAAGATGGACTGACTGTAGGCTCAGCAGAGGCAGATGCAAGGCCGGAGGGCAAAGTTGTGATAAGAAGAGTCTACAACTCCAGGGAAGCCAGCCCATTCCCAGTCAGTTAGCAAGCAGAACTTAGGGTGACACCTAGTCCCTTCTGTGAAGTGATATTTTTATTCCCAGAAACAGAGCCACACGCTTGGCTCCCGGGGCCGCACTAACTGAATTTGCCCATATCCCGAAGACAGTCGTCTTCCCTTTATTTTTAGCACCCTGCTGTCAGATGTTTTCAGAGAGCACCTCCTCCTCATAACTACTGCTTTTCTGTGCACTTAATTACACTCCCAATGACAACTGTTTGAAAAATCCTGAGACAAATAAGCGTGAGAGAAGTGTTCCAAGCCAAACGGCTGAACTGAATGCCTGCCTGCTCCTAGAGGTGTTTGCTCCGGACAGGAGGCTCTTTCGGCCTGTACCACTCAGAGGCCCTGGAGAAAGGTGCATGTTAAACATACAAACAAAGGAAAAATACCTTGTGAGCTCTTCTTTAATCTTCAAGGGTTCGTGTGGGTAGAATTTCACTCTAAAGCACATGGTGTATGGTGGATGAGCTGAAACATCATAAAGAAAAGGCATGAATGAGAAAAGCAGCAAAAGACCATGGACTCAAACACACACAGGAAAGTCAGCCATGAAGCCCTTCAGCCTAGCCTGGGTGGGGGAGGAGAGGGTGACCTTCTGGAAGAAGCAGAGACTGTGCCCAAGAAAACAAAGCAACAATGACAACAAAACTCAAAGAAAATGCTTGACAGGACGCCCAAAGCAAATGCAAGTACAGGCAAGCTCGTCCATAAACACATTTTTCCACATCTCAGTGCCCCTTCCTTTCTCCAGCCAACACCGTTTTTTTCTTCCAATTCTTCCCATTCCCTTGTGACAGATAAATTGCCCATAAACACCATTCAGATTTCTGGCCCCAAATATTTTTTAGTCCTTGAAGTGGAAAAATGCCCCTGCACATCACAAGTTTTCCCAAATTAATGGTGCCCTTGAACTAAGAGATATTTTCAATGGAGTCAGCCACGCAAAGATGCCACTTTGTTTCTTTACAGCATTATTTTTAGTATTATCAAGCTATGTGACCAACAGTTACAAAAAAATAACTTTCTGATCTGTCAGAATCAAGATAGCACAATGCAGACTGAAATCCTGGTTGTGGTTCATCATTCTGGAATGTTCTAGTTAAATATCCAGATCTCAATGGCCTGCTAAGGGAGTCTACAAGATTTCTAACATCTTCAATTATTAAGCCACTACTTGTCTTGCAATAGTAGTCTCATAGAATCATACAAAGGTAGAAAGACGCATCAGATTCCAGGTAGCATACAAAATGAGCATCTTAAAATAAAAGACTATGCTCCCAAGTGGCACTATTGCTACGGATCTGATAAACCCACTTGCTTTTTTGACTCTGGGATCAGTTCTAACTCTACATCCAATTGTACATATGAAATCATAATCTGTTCATAATAATTCAGGGTTAAAGTACCAGTAAAGTCTACAATATCTGGGACAAATATTTTTATGTAAAAAGAACTACCAGCATCAAATATGAATGTATAATGAGAAAAAAATTTAATATAAAAAGAAATTCTTAAAAATAATTTGAAAGAGAGAGTTCAACCATGAGAACCTCTGGGCAGACGATAAATTGGAGACACTCTGAAAAGTGAGGTAGACAGAAAAAAAGTAGGAAGCAGGGGGGAGGAGAATGTGGTGAAGACTGGTGGTCTGTGGGCCTTCAGTAGTGGGAAAACTATGCGACCACTTCCCACTGTAAAAATACGAACAGCAATACTTAAAAATAAAAAAATATGGGCCCTCCCTGGTGGCGCAGCGGGTTAAAGCACTGCACTGAGAAGCTAAAGCCACTTCAGGATGAGTTCGATCCCCGCCTGGGAGGTGACCCACATGGCGTGGCAGACCTCTGCTGACCCGCCCGCTGCTCCCCTCAGCAGTGTACCTTGTCAGTCTACCTGTTCTGCTCCCCACTCTGTCTCTGGGGAATCCTCTCACCACCCATGAACCTCTGGCCTGTACCTCAGCTCTGTGTGCATGAATAAATAAATCTCTAAAAAAAAAAATATTATATACACACACACACACCCAAACCCTTTTCCATTCAATGCCATACTTTCTCATCAGAGCTATTGAATTTCTTGACTGAGTGCTCCTTAGATATAAGAAATAAAATGCGTTTCTAGAGAATTAGCAGAAACTGCACACCTCTACACACAGAAACTGAAAAACATCACAAAGGACTTTACAATCTTTCTTAATACTTAGGAATTTAGTTTTGGATTAAATATTTAATCTCTACTATTCCTCAGGATTTTTAAAATTTGTTTAAATCACTTCCCTTAAAGGACTAAATTAATTTTCATTATAAAATCTATAGTCATCCTCAACAGAAAAGTTCAGTTTTTTGAAAATAGAGAAAAAACTGGAACATAAAAAATAATTTTTCTTTCCTAATTAATTTCTTCCTGTCATATTTCTCTTTCTTTTCACTCTCTTATTAACACCCTCAGAATACATGTTAAACATAACCAATGAAGATAGATAAAAATGATAGGTATAGATTGCTAGATGACAGAAATATGACAGAGAGAGAGAGAGAGAGAGAGAGAGAGAGAGAGAGAGAGATAGTCAGGCTATTCCCTTCACTTTCTTTCTTCTTGCCCTTTTTTCCCTTGGTTTCCCACTCTATCCCCAAACTCTCAACTCCATCTATATTCTTCCATCACTTTCCCAGCCTCATACAAATATATGCCAACATGATTACAAATGTGAAATATATTTACTTCATGAGATAAGATCATATTAAATATGCTTTTCTTACTTTTCCCACTAAAAATTTATATCCTTTCCATGGGCCTTTAGTTCAGTAGGTATAGATCTAACTCGTTCATAACTATTTAATACTTCCTATCACGGATACACCAAAATTTATTCAACTTCCATTTTAATCACCATTCAGGTTGTTTCCACAGTTTTGCAGTTTAAACATATATGTGTGTATGAATATATATAAATATATGTCATCACATTTTTTTATTTCTATAGAAACTTCCAAAAATAGAAGCTGTTGAGGCATTAGGTATGGAAAAAAAATTTTTTTAAAGATTTATTTATGCACACAGAACTGGGGTACAAGCCAGAGGTGCGGGTGCAGTGAAAGGATTCACCAGAGACAGAGTGGGGAGTAGAAAAGGCAGATCGACAAAGTACACTGCTGAGGGGAGCAGTGGGTGGGTCAGCAGAGGTCTGCTGTGCCATGTGGGTCACCTCCAGGCAGGAGGGATTGAACTAGCACTAAACCAGTGGCAGCTAGCTTGCAGGGCTCTGTCCTAACCTGTTGTACCACCAGGGAGGGCCTAGGTATGGAAAAATTTAAAGGCCGCAGAAAAATAAAAACTGATGGAGGGCAGATTGGGGGAAGGAGGATCAGAGGCAACAGTCCCACCTAGACCTTTCATTCCCTTCTACCTGGCCGGCACATGCACTGACTGGGCTCTAGGTTGGCTCTTCAGGTACCTGAGTCCATCTGAAAGGTCAGGCTGGTGCTCAGGGACAGCTCGTGGGGCCTGCATGAATACCTCGCAGGGCAGGCTGTGCTTCCCTTTGGTCACCCCTGAGGCTCCACAGTGGTCTGAGGCTTCTCCCAAGTGAAAAGCCTTCCTGTCATTTGAGGACAGTGCTTTTGGGCCTTTTGAATCTTTCCCAATATAGGTATCCCCAGTTCTTTCAATTGCTGTTCATGTGAATAAGTGAGGAATGCCTTCAACCTAAGTATATTTTTGTTTTAAAGAATACCTGACATAAAGCCATATTCGTTTAGCAATAATGACTTGAGATAGAAATACACGCACACACCACACATACAGAAATGATGGTGAATAGTATAGTTAACATCTAACTTTGTGTTTTGCTCTGGAAGAGAGGGGCAGCCTAGAGGCCACATCTGCCTCCTAAAGGTGTGTGGACAGATCCAGCAGATTCTGGGCACATGTGCATTACTTTACCTAGCTGTGCGCTTTTATTTTGTTGGAACCAACACTCCTACCAAGAGAAGAGAAGCAAATGGGGAGCTGGAAATGGGAGGGAGAAGATGGTAAAGACTGATGTGAACTCAATTCAACAGCTGAAAAGCACTTACTCAGCCATGTAAGTGCTAAAAATGGGAATACCGCTGAGTAACTGACAAGTAAAAATACAAAAATCTACTTTAAAAATGCCAGGAATATGTAATTGCACTAAGAACAGTGGGGCCTCTGTCACCTGCCACATGAGGACTGAGGAGGCCAAGCGTCTTGGCAGGGCAGCTCTGGGGCCTCTTTCTGCTTCATCAGACGCTAGGGGATTATTACCTTTGGTAGTTTGTTAACACTGAGAACATGGGAAGAGAAACAGCCATCTATAAAGCAGAGACAGATTTCTCATCTCCACTTTGAACCTTGCCCAGAAAAGGAGTTGGGGATATAAAACGATTAGTTGAGCAGGCTCCCAAGTGAAAATGAAAATGAAAAAAAAAAAAAAAAAAGACTTTCTATTTTTAACCAACAACCATCCTCAAATCTTTGTTTAAAAAAAAAATCATATTTTTTTTTGAGAGACAAATATCACTTAGCAGTTCTTCTTAAAATGCATCAGTCTGTCCCATCATAAAGAACTATAGCGGGGGGGGGGGGGAGGAGGGTGAAATTTGAGAGGAATATACATATAAACAGAGGATCTTCATTATGTACAGTCTGGCTTCATCATATAAATCTGCACACACATGATATTTTACATCATATGCATTCAGTGATAAAAATCAACTCCCCCAAATGCCTGCAAGCGCAGTTGAAGAGTACAGTCTGTGGTAGGTGCAGGTAGGTGTTAGGACAACTGCTACTGCAGCCCCTAGAATACATCTCACGATGTTCCCTCCACTGAGATACATTAAAAAAGAAGAAGTGTGACTTTCAGACTCTGGAGAAATTTCACAAAGCACTTGGTATTGTTACAGGACACTCCAAATCTGTTAGAGGACAGGGGGAAAGGGGCACCCCTGAAGCCCAAAACCTGCCTGCTCTAAGTGGGTTCTGCCATCCGCTGCCACAAAACAAAACATATACAACTTTAGTGAAAAGGGACTTTAATACAGTGAGTATACAATACGGAACACAAAGAATATAACTTCTAAATCAAACACCTGAAGTTACCCATCCCCTCGTGGGCAAAAGTCAACCCAAAAGGGATTGGCCCAAAGCAAGGCCTGAAAGCCTGCCACAAGCCTAAAGCACCTTCTGGCCGGGACCCATGGAAAAGGGTCAGAAATGGCCAGACAAGTCTGGGAGGAAAAGAGCAAAATCAAAGTCAATATAAACACTGCCATCGTCACCTCCCTACAGATATCTCACCCACATCTGCCTTAACCAGTCCAGGGTCAGGAAACAAGCACAGTTTCTTCATCACATGCTTGCTGCTCCATGTGGCTTCCTCAGGTCTCCTTCTGGTTCTCCATCCAGCTTCCTTCTTTTTCTTCTCCCCTCTCCTCTGATTCCTT